GGCCTTGGCAGTCGTCGAGGTCGGGCCGGGGACGGGGAGGCGCGGAGAGGCCCCGGTCGCCGCCCGCGGTGCCCATGGAGCGGGTGCGGATGATCAACGTGCAGCGCCTGCTGGAGGCGGCCGAGTTTTTGGAGCGCCGGGACCGAGGTAACGGCTGGACGCCGCCGCCTCCTCCACCGCCTGAGCCCGCGCACTCCTGCTCCGCGCGGGGATTGCGGTGCGGCGGGTGAGGGGTGCGTGTGTGAGGAGGGGGTGCGCGTGTGAGGAGTGTGCGTGTGAGGAGGGGTACGCGTGTGAGGAGTGTGCGTGTGAGGAGGGGGTGCGCGCGTGGAGTGTGTATGTGAGGAGGGGTGCGTGTGTGAGGAGTGTGCGTGTGAGGAGGGGGTGCGTGTGTGAGGAGTGTGCTTGTGAGGAGGGATGCACTGTAAGGAGGAGGTGCGCGTGTGAGGGGGGTGCGCTGTGAGGAGAGGGTCCGCTGTAGGAGGGGGTGCGCGTGTGAGGGTGGGTGCATGTGTGAGGAATGTGCCTCGTGTGAGGTGCGTGTGTGATGAGGGGTGCCTGTGGGAGGGGGCGTACATTAGTGCATGTGTGTGAGGGGGCGCGAGTGTATGTGCACGGGGAGCAGGGGAGCAGACTGTCACCTGGGGGATGGGAGGGAGCTGGCCCTGAGGGGAGGTGGAGCAGAGGAGAGGGAGGGAAGGAGGATGCTGAGAGTGGAGGTGATCTGAGGACCTGGACGGAAAGAGCTGAAGGAAGCTGGTGGGAGCAGTGCCGGTCCGGGTGGAGGAGAGCTGAGAGCAAGGAAGGCAATGCAGCTGAAGAGCAGGGAGGAGGCCAGACACTTGTGGGAAAGGGACCTCTGCCAATCCTAAGTGTGGTGTGATGCGATCCCTTTAGGAATGGAGACTAAGAGATGTAATGAGATTGGGATATGAAGAGTACCAACTCTGGGAATTGTGGTATCAGGAGAGAAAGGATCCTTCAAAGACTGGTGATTGAATTATTTGAAATACACAAAAATGTAGGGCTTGGATTGACACCTTCTAGAAAGTGGGGATAGTTAAAGGAAAAGGGATTTTGAGGCAAGTAAAATAATTGAGGTGAATGGTAACTGGTTTCAGAAATGGAGAGAAGGATTTTGGAGAGGAGGGAGAAATTACTTGGTTTGGAGGAGGTATTGGTACACCTTCCAAGTGAGAGTTGCATCTGTATATAATGTCACAGGATTGATGTCCAGGCAAGGGCTGGGAATTTTATCTTCCACCCAGAAAGAGTGGGGAAAATGTACCTCTTTTTTTCCCTCTTGTTTTCAACAGCCTGTTCCTGCAAGGACTTCAGATCTGTGAATCCATGAATTTGGGTGTATTCCTCTTTATCTTTTTTTCTTGCTATCTCCTTAGAGTGTGAACATGGCTACGCATCAACGTTCCCCTCCATGCCAAGCCCCCGGCTGCAGCATTCAAAGACCCCACGGAGGTTGAGCCGGGCACAGAAACATAGCAGCGGGAGCAGCAACACCAGCACTGCCAACAGGTAGTAAGCTGGGGAGGTTTAGAAAGGGCAGCTGGAGGGAGGGAGGAAGGGAGCACTCAGACCGAAGTGCTGACCCTGCTGACCTCAGTTCTCTAATACCAGGTCTAGAGCAACACTGAACAGCCAAATGGGTGCTTTTACCACCATTCCCAGGGATTTGCCCTTTTCGAAATAATAAAGTCTAGGGATCATAACCTGACTTTGTGTAGAAGGGAAGGAATAGACTCTGGAGAGACAACCAAAGAACTCCTTGCTGGGATTATTAAGTGGAGATGTCTGTGACTGAGGGGGATGGTAAGTTTAGAGACTTGGCAGCATGTGTCCAAGCGTGCAACCACATGCTAAATGTAATCTTGGGCCAGCTTTAAACTTGGATGATCCAAGAATTTTTAAAAATCAGGAATAGCTCAGGCCAGTATAAAGCAGAATCAAGGGTTTCGTTAAAGAAATAAAAATATTTAAGTAGAATAGGAAGTTGGTGGGCACTTTTTTTTTTAAAGGATAAGATTGAATTGGTAAGGGAGCTTTCAAAGCAAAAAAAAAAAAAAACAAAAAAAAAACCCGAGAAAGAAAATGCTTATTCTTTGGTCAAAACAAATACCTAGAAAATACTTGTCTGAATGTATTCAGACATAGCTGACTTCTGTTTTTTGAAAATTTTTGGTAGTGTCCAGCTGTCTCTTCAGTGTTTTTGTTCTAGAGGGCCAGTGAATTCTAAAGATTCATCTCATATGAAGTTTTCAAAAGGTTTGTCTTAAAATCGAAATCAACAGATGCTTGCCTTTTCCATTGATAAAAAGAATTGAATGAGACCTTTGCCCCAAAGTTTTGTAAGGAGAATATAAGCATTCATTTTGGAGGGGCACAGAGCAATCTCTGGGTAACTAAGTTTGCCTGAAGACTTTGGGGAGCTCCAGACAGGTACTTAAGTAGTCACTTGAGGAGATGGGCTAGGGAGGGAGCAGAAGTATGGGCTTTTACTAACTGATGCAGAAAACCTGAGGTTTCCTATAGTTTAGAGTTCAAAAGGTCAGATCTTCCCACTCTGCTTTTCGGACATCACTGAGGCAAATCACTAGGATTCACCCATCTTTTTGATTTATCTTTAAAGCTGTGTGTTTGCTATTTTGGCTTCTTTTCTTCGGTAAGGTATTTTGTATATTAAACAATTTTTAAAATTATAAAAATAATTAGCCATAAGCATAATATGCTGCATTTATGTTTTTGTGTGGGTCTAGAGGGTTTCTTGTGGTAAGTTTGGGATGAAATATAATATGCAGCATTTTAAAAAAATGTATAAATTTTCTTGCTCTTTACTGTTTCTCTGGTTAAGGTGTCAGCAATTAACATCTGTATTCAGGAATTGATGAGTTTTCCAATCTATGTGTAGATTAAACAAAAAAATTTTTTTTAACTTTTGAGATATGGGGAAAGTACCAGATAGGGAAACCAAACCTGTGTTGTCATGCTACAAGTGTTTATTGATTGTTTCCTACTTTCTAGAAATCATGTATATGAACTCATTACATTTTTTTCTCTGTCCTTTACTATTCTCATGGTAAATTGAGTGGATGAACTACATACTCAACAAAGTCCCTTCTTCCCCTGAAGTTCTGTGACAGTGATTTATTGACAGTTTTAGAGATGAGTTACTATATTGGTTACTCAGTATACCACCCCATCATTGTAAATGTGCCATTTTTACTAATAACTCAAGGATTATATAGAGGCATAAATAGGATGTGTATTTCTAGATTTTACAAATTATGTTACAGGTTATTAATGTCTTTGTCATCTGTTAACTTATACTTTGCTCAGCTTGGGGTTTTGACTAAGTGGTGTTTCTCTTTCATGCTAGTGTTCTTGTTAGGGTTCTGCTATTGTATATGGGACCACATTGCTAATTAGTGTGTATTTTAACACAGCATGTCAGAAAATTTGTAAAACTACAAGTATACCACATTGTTCTTAGTACCCCAGGGAAAATAATTACATGTATTTTGGACCACCCCACCTAAGACTGAGTAAGGTAATTTTTCATGGGAATATAAATAGTAAAAAAGAAAGAAAAAGAGATTTTAGACTGTATTGTCTTGGGGTCCACTGACGTGTGGTATTTAGGCTGGGGACTATAGATGAGAACTAGTATGTTAAAGTGGAACACTAGAAATACCATTTAAAATTTCAGCTTCCTGGAGTAGGGGAGCCAAGGATCAAATTCCAGTACTGGGGTACTTGGGAGATAGTGTTAGTTCATTTGTAAGGAAACACTGGAGACACTGTTAACTCTAAACCTATTTCTGGATTTAATAAAGATTTTATTATACAGGTTACAGAAAGCAGAAAGAAATAAACTTGTAAAAATTTCCATTTATTAGTCATCTGAAACAAAAGAATAGAGTTGATGAGTATTATGTGTCTTCTCTTCCTTATCAAAAAGCTTCCTGTGTGGCAGTTGCTGTTCCTATTACGTATCTTGATCATTGATCTCCTGTGTATCATAAAATGACACTTGTTTTCCTGACACTGTAGCATCTTTAAGATATAAAGTTGGTTGACTTTATTACCCTAATATTCTCAGGTATAATGTGATATTCTTGATATAAAATGCTACTTTATAAATTTATAGAGCTGAGAATTGACTCATTATAAATTCCTATTCCTTCTTTCTCCCAAGACTTGAAATCTTAACTTTCACAGAAGTACAAAGTAGAGAAAATGAGTGATATAATGTGATATTAAAAGCATATACCTCAACAATCCTAGTAGTTTTATCATTTGGGATCCTTCTGACAACTGGGAAGTGGGATCTATAATACATAATTTTTAAAAAATTCATGGTTGACTTTACTGTAGTCTTGGTCATGGCTTTCTGGCACACTTCCCAAAATCATCCTTACTGAGATGTTACTGCTTCTAGAGAACTGGCTGGAATCTCTGTCTGGCTCATCAAGTAGCATTGAATAAGCTCAGATTCCCAGCTTCTTTACTGTTGGTCTTAGAACTGAAAAATTTCAAGATCTGTCACCTTTAAAACTCTGCTAACACTACTCTACATGGCTTCAGTGTAACACCAATTTCCTCCTAAATAACTCTTGAATCTACCTTCTTTTCTCTTCCCTTTCTTACTACCCTCCTAATCCAAGATATCATCACTTCTCACCTGGACACTCTTGCCCCAAATACAATTCTGATGAATTGTGTTGGCTAGTCTTCTTTCAGTTCCTTCGGTACTCTGTTTCCTCCTACCTCAGGGTCTTTGCACATTCTCTGTTCTTTTCTGAGGATCGTTTTTCTTCCCCTTTTGCCAAGGTATCACTATCTAATAACACTTGTACTTCGTCTCAGTAATGACTTCTTCAGGGAAGCCTTTCCTGATCTGCCAAAGTAGATCAGGTAGTCACATATCTCATGGCATCCCCACTTTTCCTTTGTAGTGTTTATCACAGTCTGTAGAGATACACTTATCTGATTGTTTGATAAATTCATGTCTCATTTATTGGACTAAAAACTCCATGAAGACAAGGATTGAATCTCTTCTGTCTAAAGATTTATCCCTAGTATCTATCACAGTGTTCTGTAGACAGTAGATGTTTCTTTTTTTTTTCATTTCTTTTTTTTTAACATTTTTTATTGATTTATAATCATTTTACAATGTTGTGTCAAATTCCAGTGTTCAGCACAATTTTTCAGTCATTCATGGTAGATGTTTCTTGAGGAGTAGAAAGTTTTCAAACTCAGGTAGACTGTCCTAAATTGGAACTGAGTTTCTCTTTTGTGCTGAGTCTGATTAGACTCTGGAATGAGAAATAATGGAAGAATATGCAACTCCTGCTTTGGCAACCCCCCTGATTACTTTGTATTCTAAAGGATGTTAATATATTTGGAAAGGAAAACAATATGTAGTATTTGAAGAATGAAAATCTTTAAACTGCCTGTTCTTTTAAACAAGTATATTCTAGTAGAGTTCAGAAAGCTACAATTAATTTTAAAGAACACTCTTGTCATTCTGTGTCATGAGAATAAAATGATATCAGAACTTATATATGCAAAGAACCGTAAGTCTGTCAAAATTGGCAATAAATATTGATAGGAACCTGTGACACATATATAGTAATTGCATTACTTTGAGGTCGTCTAGAAAGTAGTAAGTACAGGCACACCTCATTTTATTACACTTCCCTTTATTGTGCTTCATGGATACTGCGTTTATTACAGGTTGAAGGTGTGGCATTGTCAGATGATGGCAATCTTTTTTTTTTTAAGCAATAAAGTATTTTTGAATTAAAGTATGTACGTTTTTTAGACATAATGCTATTACACATTTAATAGACTACAGTACAGTGTAAGCATAATTTTTATGTGCGCTGAGAAATAAAAAAAATTGTGTGACTTACTTTGTTGTGACACTCACTTTATTGTAGTGGTCTGGAACCAAATCCACAATATCTCCAAGGTATACCTGTACTAATTTATGGTTGAATTTCAAGTTAATTTAAAAAAAAAGTCTTCTATTTAGTATCCTTAAAGAATCTTAAAACAGCAGCAATGTTTCGGTACTATCTTCTAAGATTGAGGGCATAAAAAGCAAAACAAAACAACTTCCCTTTTGCTTGTAAGACTTTAACTTTTACAGTATTTTGGATGTCTTCTTCATGGATTATTAGGTTTTTGGGGTTTTTTTGTGTGTGTGTGAGAGGGAGATGAATTCTTTTTTTAGGATAGTTTTAGAGGATTCTTCCCCCCAGTGTAAGTAATTTGAGATATGTTATGTCTTCTATTTTGCTCTTAAAAATGTCACAGATTAATTGAATAAAGGCTTATTTTTATTTTTGTGAAATTTCTTTGTAGTTTATATTTCTCAAATTTTCTGTATTAAATAACTAGTTGCTGGGTCTTTGTCCAATAGAAAGGTCCCAAAGTTTCAGGACAAAAGTGGAAATTAGTAGCAGTTAAACTCTTAATGATATTAGTGTTGTTCTTCAGTATTTTCCACATGT